CAAAGAAATGCAGCCTCGTGGAAACATAAATTGCCATCACTTCAGCAGTAAGTACTTTGTAGTGATCAACACATCCAACCTTTTGGACAAGCGGCGTCCGAATGGAGCACCCGATGCAGCAGTTTTCTCCTCCAGTTGTCGACTGTAATGCCACATGCGGCCGTCCGCTTTTTTCGGCACAGCGCCTCCCATTGACGTTGGACTCCCTTTTGCCGCTACACCCGCTCTAAGACACTGTAACATCGCGGCATCAGCTTTTGGCGGCTGCGTATTTTCGGCACCGATTTGGTGTTTATGGGGCGTGGCCAATGACCGTCACGGACATCAAAATACCTGCTTTTATTTTGACGTCTTAGTTACTTTGGCGTCAACAACGCTTTCTTTGGATGCCGCTGACTGCATTTTGAAATGTCGGTCGCTCGGCGTGTGTGTGGTCGGGTGCTCGGCGGCTCGGCGGTGTCCACGCTCGTGCGTGTTGTCGACGTTGCCACCTGTACTCGTCGCGTTCTCAGGAACATCAAAATAAGCGTTCTCCATTTTCAAACTTCGCCCGGTGCCGTCCGTCACTCCTGTTGCAAGTGAAGATTACGTGTAGCGGAGGCGACAGAGCCCTGCCGCAGTAATTTCGTGCGGATTTTTCCCGAGCTGTACCTGTTTGTAATACGACGGATTATTACCCTTGCATAGAATAGCTGCGAAGGCCGTGCAAGCGGCGAGTGAGTAGCCTTGACTGGCATGACTGCACCCGCTGTAGGAGCGCTCGTGCCGCGTGATCCAAAGCAACTAGCTCGCGTTTTTAGCACTGTCGGCGACACCATTTTTTTTTCAGTGTTAATTGTAAAAAACAAATGTCGTAAATATCGCCAAAAGTCCCAATAACATAAAATGTTCGAAAAAAAAAGAAGAAAAGTAGACCTCCACCGCGGATGGAACCCACGACCACTTGCGTATCAGGAAGAGATGTTAACCGCTAAGCTACCCTACAGTTTCAAAAATGTCGTTTTGACAATTCATTCTATACGAGACTTTCTTAACGCGAAGCACCGACGGTGGAGTACCGTCGGACTTCACTTGAAAGCTCTGCAAAAGTGCCGTCGGACGGTACTGTATGTCACTACGAATTTTCTTTTGCAGCAGGAGTGACCGACGGCACCGACCGACGGCACCGACCGACGGCACAGGCGGCACGTCCACACACCAGCGAGTACACCGTCGACGATCACCCTACCACGCGCACACACTCGCCGACCGACCGACGTTTCAAAATGCAGTCGGCGGCATCCAAAATAAAACGTGTTTACGTCAAAAAACACCAAATAGAATTTGGACGTCCGCGACGTCATTGGCCGCGCCCCCTGGACTTCAAATCGGTGCCGAAAATACGCACCCGTGGAAAATAGATGCGCAACTCTGGCTCAGGGAGCGAGGGATCGGTGGCCGGGCAGGGGGGTAAAGGTGGGTGAGGAGGAGTGGCAAATCCCGTGCGCCGACACCCGGGGTCCCGAGTGAACGATCGCAAAAGAGAGCGACAAAACACGAGAGAAAGAAAGCAACGTTGCCATGGTAAACGCGAAGAGTGAAAACTCTCAGCAATATAAACAGTGATAATTTAACGTTGTAAACTAAATTCTGAGCCATTCCAACGCTTGTAAAAAGCAATAAAGTCATTACGCTGCATTAACTTCCATTCTGTCGAAATCTCGGAAATCTGGTGGTTGCGCAGTTTCGTATTCCTCAACCGCGCCCACCCGCGCCGCACTGGCGAAGCCGGGTATATGGTTTAGTTTAGCGTTAACGCGAGGCCGTACATCTGCGCGTTGTGCAAAAAGAAAGCTTCGAAAGGAACGCGAATATCTTTCCACCGGTAAGTTCGTGGATTGTTGAAGTTCACGAAACTGCTCTGATGATGTAACCGTGTTTGGGACCCCGAGGGTCTGCCTGCATGATCCGCCGCTTGCGGCAGCCAGAATGTATGGGAAAATGGCGGACCTTTTCCTCTAGAGTTAGTATGTATGATCTCTATGTGGCCGGGTCGCCGAGTGGGCTAGCGCACACCAGTGTTGCCAACCGTAGGGTAGTTACCCTACTTGTAGGGTATTTTAGGCATCTTTGGTACATTGTAGGGTTGTAGGGCCGTCCGGCCATTTCCCCGCCAAAAGTAGGGTAATTTCAGAAAGTGAAAAAAAAAAAAAAAAAAGCTCCCGTGCAGGTTTTGCATAGCTTTGATAGCTTTGCAAACTCGTGTGCTGCCACACCATGACATCATGCAGAACGAAAGCATCCAAGTTGCAAGACGAGCTAACAGAGTTCACCACACACCAAGCTGGAGAGTATTGGAGAGCTGGAGCAACGAGCAAGTGCGAGAGGTGGGAGGAGTGGGGGTTGCGCGGAGGGAGTGTGGAGTTAGAGGAGGTATCTTCCCAGTGGACATGTTCCCGCCAATTTTTCTCTAATGACTCTGGTACATCCGGCGGTTCTTGTTACACCTGCGAAACACGTGGCACCACGGGCGAAATCACCCCGAGCCCACCAGAACCGGCAGCCACCTGTTCAACTGAGCTTTTCTACGACTAACAATAGCTGGAACTACCACTCGTCCTCTGCGCTCTTTTGTTATGGCGCGTTGCAATTAACACTTTCCTTAGCACGCCCATAGAGCGTCGATCACCGATTATCGACGAGTTTTAGCAACGTTTTAGCAAACGAAACAGAAGCCATGACGTTTCATTGAATGACACTTTGGCGAATACGGAAGAGCCGCCAGTTTCCTATCCTCCCCAATAGCATAGTTTGTCGAAATAGTACCTTAGTTCGACGAATCCCTAGGCGCGGTACACCCAAAGAAGCTAATATGCCGCTCGGATTAGCTTCCTTTTGTAATGAGCCGCCTTGTCTGTCGTTGCGAGTGCTGGTCCCACGTAGCCCAGTTTTAAATTTGACGACTAATCGGCTAAACATGTTGGTTGGGGATATGTGTGCGCTCGCTACATCAATGTTGTGCTGATTATACAGAGCGCACCTGCAAGCATGGTGTTCTAGACGTTCTAGAATAACGCAGGTATGCGCGCGCATGCGTGCCCTGTCGCTTTGTACTGTATTAATATTACCCTATATCATGATAATCCATGCAACAGTAATATCTGAACAAAGATTTGCTCGTAGGGTAAATTGTAGGGTAATAAGAAACATTCGTAGGGTAATGTAGGGTTTTCTGGACGTTGGCGTGGGGTATTTTCGAAAAATAGGTTGGCAACACTGGCGCACACCAGCTCGAAGCACGTGGAGCGAAAGCTCGTGCTGCCAGTTTCGATCTGGATGAGCATCGCACCGGCGTGCGGTCGTGTATCGCCATTCCGTGATGCACGTTAAAGACCCCAGGCAAGCAGTTGTACTGCACTGGCTACATTGCTCATCTACAGCAGAGAGACTCGTCGCCTGTTGAAGCAGACCAACTTCTAGGCTGTATAAACATACACAACCCAATTTTTACCGTAGGGAGCCTATACACGAACTCTAGACGCTGCAAGACGAGCTGCAGGGATGTCGATGCTATCTAGGCAGCGTATAGATCCCGGCCTGCAGCAGGTTGTGCAGACTGCGATATGCCACAAACTAAACGTGTGCATCAGCTTAATTTTACAAGAGGTGAGCAGGAGAGTTGCAGGCGAGGTGGATCGGCTTGGCCATCACGACGAGGTTGAAAGAGTGAATTACCATCTCGTTCAACGAATGACCATTTCGTGACGTCATGGACTTTTGCGCGCAGAATTGCAAATAAATCTCTCGCCGTCAATATTGCTCTAAAAGATATCTTTTACTTCACAGATATTGTCCAGATTCGTGGCTCCTGTATACCTACTGCCCAAATACGTGCAAGTTCTGTGGCATTTGGGAATTATAGTTCATCCTCAATAGTAATGTTTGCAGATGGAATACGAACCCACATTGAGTGCTGCACTTCTTTTTCGTGCAAGCAAACCGGGCATGGTAAATTCGGTCGCGTTTTGAGAATGATCCCTTTATGTACGGTTGTATTTTGTATCGTATACAGCCCAGCGTGAACCACACTGAAAGAATTTCAGCATCTTTTTTCTTTCTTATCAACCAGATATATGTGAAAATTTACATGTTACTAAAAGAATAACTAAATACCATTACTCCCTCAGAAATAGGTATGTTAGTTAGCTACGAAGCTTCTAAAAGAAAATGCTACTTCACCTAGAACAGAACGAGTTACTTCTCTCGTTCCTATGACAACCAAATAAGCAGCTGCTCCCATTTCGTGCACGATTGCTTCCTCTTGTTGTTTATTCTCTATAGCACATCCGGAACCTGTGAGCAGCAGCATTTGTTGATGAGGTGACTACACCGGAGACCGATTTCACTGGAAACATTGTAAAGTCTGGGTATTTTTATGAAGACCAAATTCCCCAAAAAGTTGATAACTGCACTGCAATTTTAATTTAGAAAGTGAGATATACTCCAGCACTAATTTCCTAATAACTGTTATGTTTACACAATAAGGTACTTTCCTCTGATTAATCACGGTATTGCTGTGAAGTACCGGAGACCTGCATCTGACACTACTTCGTCCAGTTATTATTGTTTGCTTCAACACATAAGCAACATTTTGTGGCATTGCGAGGCTCAAGGTTCATACTGTGACAAATTAAAACTGTTTGAAATGATAGGAAAACCCTTCCAAGGAGAGTCAATTAGATTGAGTGCACTAGAAACACCACTGCGTGCCCGAACAGTTCACATTAGCTCCAATAGGCATTGCCAATTCCTTTTTTTGTCTTTGCTGCTTTTTATGGCAGATTTTGGTTGACATTGCAAGGAACACTAGAAACAAAATGATCAAACTTTGCATCATCTCATATTCATCCACCTCTATAAGAAGGTTAGTTAATCGATAACCAGTATTTTTTAATGCCCGATTTAAGAGAATGCATGAGCTGCAAAAAAAAAAAAGAAGCAAAAAACAACAACAAAAAAACTTGTAGACCCTAAACTCACGAGCTGAGCTCGTACAGTTTACTCCTAATGAATACAAAACAAATCATACACACAAAAAAAGAAGAGAAATATACACCCACTAAATTCCTTATCCTATCAGGCATCAGTAGCTAACCGTAACTAAAGATGTCATGCATAAGACGACGAGACTTTTGTAGTGCTCCTGGCAGTGCAGACGGCAAAAAATCACCGCTTTGCTGAAGTCACAGGTCACAGTCTTCTAGGAAGCCAGGACATTATTTTCTCCATCCTTACAGCTCACCACCTTGTACAGATCATCCCTCTTCTGTTTGGTCACGGGAATCTGGTCCCTGATCATAGCCAGATGATCCAGGTCCACCTCTGCAAGCACGAGCTCTTCGCCAGCTCCGGCCGACTGAACCACCTTAGCAGACGGGTCCACCAACATGCTGTGTCCCCACGCGACGTAAGATGCCGCTTCATCCCTCGCGGGCGACACCGACGCCACATAAACCTGGTTATCAACCGCCCTACCCCTCTGAAGGATTTCCCAGTGCAGCGGACCAGTGGTCATGTTGAACGCTCCAGGGTACACCAGCAGCTTGCAGCCGCGCTGCGCGTACAACTGAGCCAAAGGTGCAAACCGAAGATCGTAACATATCCCGACGCCCACCTTGCAGAAGGGAGTGTCGAAGGTGGTCAGTCCGTCGCCCGCCGTAAAGCAGTCCGACTCCCTGAAGGTTATTTTACCGGGGATGTCGATGTCGAAGAGGTGCACCTTGCGGTGCTTGGCCAGCATCGAACCGTCCGGTCCGTAGACGAGGCAGGTGTTGTAGAGCTTCCCGTTTTCGCTCTCCGACATGGAGCCGCCGATGAGGTAGACCTGGTTTTCTCTTGCGCAGCGCGAGAGCATCTCGCTGGTCTCGCCGGGGATGGTCTCGGCGTACTGCGGGAAGTACTGCGTCCCATACGGGAAACCGAAACATTCGGGAAGGCAGACCATGTTAGCACCCCTAGAAGCCGCCTCCTTGATTTGCTTACTCGCTTTTTCGAGGTTCTCCGCCTTGTTGGCTTTCACGGCGAGCTGGAGTAGGGCCAAGCGAAACCTGTTGGTTGACATGATTCTTGACTGCAATGTTTCACACTGTTAACCGTGGTTCCAACGCACCTTGTACCAACGTATCGAGCCTGTCGAACCGTATCGAACCACCCGCAGATTTCTGTTGACGTGAGTAGGACGTGTTCGGGTGTTCAAGATGACGTTTGTAGAGCTGTACTTCACTGGAAATAATAATAAAAAAATAACGATAGCTCAATCGACGAGATAGAGGGGCCTCGTTGAGCTGAATATTTGGAACTTATTCAAACGCCTTTTGACAAACCTTTATATTTAAGCTTGTTGTGGTAAATTTGACACTTTGGAAATTGGAACTAAAACTCACCGAGTCTGAAACTGAACAATTGAACGCATCGAGCGCGCTTGATTGATGGTGATGCCAATGTAAATCTTAATAGCAAGTGAGGCTGAAGAATTGTATCTTCTATTTTCTTGAATAAAATAAAACGCACTAATATTCAATAATAGTTCTTAAGTGGTTTACGTAAAATGACTGTCAACAACTGTTTGTTTCTTTTGTGTTATATATTAATACGTGCGGGAAGGTTGCCAATGTGCTCGTACGTGGCGTCGCGAGCACAAAGTTCGGAAAATTCGTTCATCGGCCGGCAGCTCGGTGCCCTTTAAAATCGCCTGAAATACACCCGCGCTCACGGTTCCCTAAATTACGGCGCGGTGGGCGTCACAAAATTCCTCTAAATTCCGCTAAAGCCGTGTCTTACAAATCGTTAAAGTCCGTAGTCGCGATGTGGACGGAGAAGAAACCTCTTCACGTCATTCTCCTTGCAGTGGTGTTCTATCTGTGCCTGTGCGTTCTGGAAGTGTCGAGCCACGTTCACACGCACCCCAAAAGTGACCATGCCAACGGAGAGAGAGAACAGGACGGAAACTTTGCGTCGAGGGCCCAAAATCATCTACGCGACGATATTCACGAGACTGATTTCGATCACGAGGCGATTTTAGGTGAGCTCCTCCGCCAACTCTCATCGTGGAACGCTTCTCGAATTTCACTCGTAACGCGATCGTGGGCTACCCATTCTTGAGATCGAAGTGATCGTTTGGTCGCGCGCTGCGACATATCAAAATAAGTTTATGCTTGGTTGGCATGGAATCAAGGAGAAACGACGTGCCGGAAAGTGTCTGTACGCGATCGCCTGTCTAGAATCTCGGGTGCTACGACTATGCCACGTTCAAGAATATCTGCTCTGCCGGTAAGCCGAGGAAAAAGAAAAAAGAGATATCTGCTCGGATGATACAAACCTCATTCTTAGATAAAAAATTCTATGTAAGCAACAAAGAAAAAAAAAAACAACAACAAAAAAAAAAAAACAGAAAGTTAATGCAAGGGTACAGGCGAGCTGGTTGAGAACCAGCATTTTTTTACCCTGAAGATTCGGGAAACAGGAACAGGAAGAGACGAACCACCAATTCAGAGATTCGTGCTGTGCTCTCCCCACGTTTCCCCACTCTCCAGAGTTAGATATCTAAGCAGAGAGGGTTCGGTTTCGTTGAATGTTAATCTTGATTGGTAATGTTAATAAATAGGCAATAGGTTAATGATATTGATTGCCAGCAAAGACTCTGGAGGTCTTTACCAGTAGTTAAAACTTGGTGGGTTAGTAGATATTGCTGATTAGGCAACTGTCCCTGGAGGCAGCCTCGCCTGCCGTCATTATGTGCACCGATCCCTCGTGCACACGAATGACATTCTACTCTATTACATATGTTGGGATCGTTTGAAGTCAGGCAACGCTATTTTGGCTAAGCAAATATTTTCTTTTGTTTTGCTTCAAATATGGTTTGTTAATTGCAGCATTTTCTTAATGACTGTGAACGATCGTCACTATCAAAACAAAGGCGTCCTTTTCGGATGCCCTGCCTCCTACGCGTGCTCGTCACCTTTCGTTGTGCTTTGGTTCTGCGTGCTTGCACGTTCGTAGCTGCTGAGGTGCCAATGTGTCGTTGACGGTAGGAAGTTCATGTTGGAGGCAGGACGACTGAGGCACATCCCTGCTGTTCCCATCGTGCCGGCAACTAGACACATGTTCTAATCGCAAACAACGGCCACATCGTGGCGCAAGAATATTTTTGCTGGTCATAGAAACGGTGCGCTCTGAAATGTGACTCTCGGTACCACGACACTAATGGATGTTGTTTTCCCCTGCATGTGTAACATGATTGGTCCATATATTCTTTTCAATGCATTCCGTGGTTTGTTTTTTATTGCACGTGGTGGAAAACATCTACTCAGCGTGGTCTCCTTTTAGAACAAAATAAATTGACATCTGAGCTTTAAAGGGAAATGAAATCGGTTCTGTATTTGAGTAACAAGAGTTGTTAAATCGTCTTTATTTGACCCCCAGGATCAAAATATTGATATTGTTTTAATTTGGTGCATGGTGGCTGCAGAAAGCCATATTCAAAGTACCACTGAAGCCCACCTTCCTGGAGCATGCCGCCATTAAAGGAGTTCTCGGAATCTGCTCCCGTGCATCTTCAGCGCATATCAAAGCTGTGCACGTGCACCCTCGCTATTTTTAAAAAGGTAAAAAGAAAAAACAACATCACAATTGGTGTCAGTGCAGGGGAATATACCAGGCAAGCTTGCAATTGCACGTGCTGCCCACACGAGCAAAACATGCTTGGCGACTGAATGATCCTTTTATGGCATAACGACTGGTCGGAGATTTCTTGCGTTCTCTTGCGTTTAGTTACATCTTCGGGGAAAATGAACGTGGCAATAAGATTCACGGGACAAAAATACCCTAGAATTCGCCACTAACTTGTTTTTTTCAAGGAACTCTTCAGCTTCCCTAAAATTTAATCCGCAAACAGCTGTGGAGGTGCAAAAATCTATGTTTGGTGTATAACTGTTTTTTTTCTTTTTGTGGCAAGTAATTTTATTTGATTTGCACTGCAGGCAGCAGAGATGCCGCCGATGAATATGACCAACTCAGTCCCGAGGAAGCGAAACGCCGGCTCCAGGAACTTGCAGTCAAGATGGACAAAGATGGCGACGGCTACGTGGACAGGACGGAGCTGATCGAGTGGATACTACGGTCTTTCAAGTGAGTGGGAGGGCGACTAGGATTCCCATTTATGCCACTCACAGATGAGGTACCAGATTGTTCACAATAGATACCTTGCATGTTACGCTATACATGGTGCCGTATTAGCCGCCATTCCTCCATACCATGCTGCTTGTGTCCCACAACACCGGGAACTCCTCAACAAAGGAAATGAAAAAGAATGTGGTGGCAACAGTAATGGTGCAGGCGATTCCAAAGAGCGCGAAAAGAATGCAGAGGCCCCTGTGGCCAGGTGAGGCAAAAGAGTATCGCTAAAAGCAGCGAAAAGCAACTTACTCTGCTGCATACCTGTGGAGCGTTCGTGCTGAGAGAGTGAACCCTCTGTGCTTTTACCGAGGGGGACGGCGCTGCGAGGCATCAAGAAGGGATGACGTATGTCTCACGTCTGGGATGGGCAAAATACATGCAAATATGTATCGAAATACAAATACAAAATACTTCGTCAAAAATGTATTTAATTACAGATCTAATTACATTTTGAAAGAGCGTTTAAGTACAAGATACAAATACAACCAACTGTATTCGGTCTCCTCCAAATACTTTTCCAAATACATTCCTCAAAATTTGCGTCAGCGACTTCAGGGCAGCTGCAACGGGTTTCTGGGTATCTCATTTTAATTTTGCATTGCACACTCGGGAGTTAATGTGCAAGGCTCTAGTAACGTAATAGAAATATAATCACAAAAAATGTAATCAGCTCGTTCATGGTAAATAAAAAAAGTACAGAGCTTCAAGCAGCTTTTTTGTCGATTACATTTTGGTATAGACCAACAAAGAACCGAGACGACCAAGACGCGCAGCACTACCTACGGAATTTTTTATTGTTGCAACTCGCACCAGTTACAAAAATCTGGACGACCTGCGCATTTAGAATGTTCCAGGCAAAAATATGGATGGAAATCAGGCTGGAAAGCATCACAAGTTGTCACAGGCACTTATTTAGCCAGTCTGCCTGTGAATGTCGATTTCGTCACTATTCTGGCCTTGTACTGCCACCGTAATCACAAAGTCACTAAACACTTGTGCTTGATTGAGAGAGACTGCATTCGGTGCAGAACATAGTTTTCTTCCTGCTCTGGACAGTGACAATAAATTTAAAGGATGTATTTTTGCCCATAAAATTGTATTTAATTACAATTGTATTTGAAATACCCACGTTTTAGTATTTAAATACACATCAAATACAATACCCAATTTGTAATTAAATACAAATGCAAAATACACAAAGTATTTGAAATACGTATTTCAAATACTACTTGTATTTGAAATACTGCTCATCCCTGTCTCACGTGATGCGCGCTCCGCGGAGCGAAGTGGGGGATTTCTCCTTCGTGTGAATATCCCTTAAAACCGGGGTGTCGAATGATTCTCCGTCTGTCGGAGAACATGGCTCATACTGCTGTCTCATACGGCGCGTACGTAGCACTTCACCCTTAGATATCACGAAGGCGTCCATCTTGGACAGGTTGGTCTGTTTGGCACGGGCATGTTTGGTGCCTCGGAAATGCCGACTTCATCCATCCACGTGTCATCCTCAGAAGTTGGTGATTCCATTTGCGGAGCCTGATCTGGTCGGCGTGTTGAACGACATCGCCGTCAGTTATAGTAACAATTGCCGTTCACGCTCTCTTCACCTCTGTTACGACTGCTGGAACGCACCGGGAACCCGATTTGTAGTTGCAGATAATTATGCGGTTTCGCCTCATTTAAGTCGTTTGCCAGCAGTGGTCTGAGGTTGTTGTTTTTCTTCTTTCTCCAGCCGTGCAGTCCAATCTCGAACATAGCTGACGTCCTACCAAGAGTTCTTCCAGAAACTTTCCTGATATGCTGTTGGGTGTTCGCCGGTATGAAAGGAACCGACGGTCCAGCTTTGTTTGTAGGTCTTTGCCAGAATCTTTTTCAGCACCAACTTCATCATTCGCACAGCCCTTTCAATGAGTCCATTCGACTGTGGGTGATGGTGTACGGTGCGAATGTGTCACACATTGTTCTGGGTTGTGAAATCTTTGAAGGGTTGTCCGGTGAAAAGAGTCCCATTGTCCAAAAGGATACAGTATGGTAATTCAAAACAAGCAAATAGCCGTTGCACTACTTCTACAGTCTTTTCTGAAGTAGCATTCTTCACCAAAACAGCCTCAATCCACTTAGTCTATAGCCGTCTGCTACAATTTGCACAAATTATCTGTTGACTGGCCCCCAGTGGTGTGATTGCTGCACCAATAGACCATTTGCTATATCCCCAAGTGCCCCGGCCTGCGCTAAAAGAATCATGGGAACGGTGTTCCTTCAGTCCCTTAGTGACCGGTAATTTCGACCCTATTCTTGGTTACACAGGTTCTGAGCGTAATTCGGAGTCACCTTGAACAAGCGCCTGATATACCCCAATGACCTGTCACATTGCTTTTAAAATTTCTCCTCAATGTCAGCGTTTTTGATACTGTGCATGCTGTCCACCCTTCAGCCTGGATGAGCTGCAGAAATCTCTTACATTATTATCATGTTGATATTAAGTTAGAAACGCTAAAAATGCTACAAACAGCCCCGCGGGCTTCGAGCGAAATCCTGGTTTTTGTTGATGTGAATTATCGACTTTCTAAGCAATTTCTGCTCAAACAACAATCATGAGAATGATAATATTGAATGAGATTTTTGCAGCTCAGCCAGGTTGAAAGGTCGATCGCATGCGCAGTATCAAAAATGGTGACGTTGACGGGCAATTTTAAAAGTGATATATCAGCTCCTTGGGGTATATCAGGTGCTTGTTCAGGGTGACCCCGAATTACGCTCAAAACTGTGTAATTATGGAGTTGGTCCAAAATTAGTGATCACTAGGGAGCTGAAGGAACACCTATCCCATGATTCCTTGAGTGCGGGCCGGGGCGCTTGGGAATACTGCAAAAGGTCTATTGCACCAATTGGCTGACCCTGCTAGATCCTGCTGCATTTTGCCAAAATATGGGTAATCTGCACCGAGCCTGCGCCAAAAAAACAATTTCGGTCGCCTTTCAAGACCGAAACTAAACTGACTACCGCAACTGAGCATGCATCTGTTAAGTGGCGTAAGCGGCCGCCCGACACGATGTACCCTGCATTAATTGTTCCTCTGGTCTTGCATAGTTTTCCCGCCGTCTCGCGTTTCGCGCTCTCGTCGTCTCGTGGGTCTCGTCTCGCGTCTTTTTTAAAAATATATTCAACGATAGACGCGGGTGTGTGCAGACGGTCCGACGCTAGCGTGCCGGGTACCAGCCATGCTGTCATGCTGTGAAACGAAACCACATTTTTGCAAGGCACGAGTTACTTTGTGAGCTGAAGCACTCGCTCCTGAAAGCAACAACCGTGGAAAAAGTATATTTGGTCTCTGCCTTCCAGTCACCGTGGTCGCGCGACGTCGAGTGTTGCAGCCCCACGTCAGTGCAGATATGGCGCTTTATAAAATGAAACTAGGGGCTGCCGCATGCTCATCAACATTCCTGTTCTTGTTTAAATCATACAGTAAGGTTCTTGATAGGCTGTAGACGGTGGTTCCTCCTCGATGGTGTGGAGGAGGATGGCTTGCGTTGGACGGTGGCGGTGGTGTAGCAGTTCGGGCCAGACAACTGCTTACGCAAATGCTTTTTTGCAACAGTTTAATAAAAGACAATTTAACATACAGGACACAGGGATACAAACATCGACAACCCGAGCCCCGGACTTGGCCGCTGTTAGAGAGCGGCTCCTTTCTCTCCAACGGTACCGAACCAAAGACCATCTCCTTTTTCTCGCCTGTGCTCTTATCGAGAGCAGCCTGTCCCTCTTTCTCATTTTCTCATGGGGGTCAACATTCTCATCTGGCGCTCTGAGCCCAGGGCTAGACGGCACACGTCTTCCCCAAAATCGTTCGCGCAGGGCCTCTAGACGAAGTAAGAAAACAAATAAAAAGGTTCCGGAACCTTACACATACGTTACTACAAAAATCCCTCTTTAACTCGGAGACTGCTGTGACGAAGTATTGATTACCTATGTTTCTCTCGGTGGGCTTTCTTTCGAGAGGGACCCCAGTACGTGAAAAATCTGCCGTGAAAGAAAGCTGGTGAAGGGAAGTGAACTAAAGCAAAGAAGGTAATGTCTGCATGCTGAACCCGCACAGCGCACTTGTTTGTCTCGAGTTCAGTCATTGCACAAAGCGGTCCAAGAACTTTTTGATTTTGGCTCGCGATGTCTTGCATCGATGCGCTTAGGTTCTTTTTTTTTTTTTTGTGTGTTTAGCTTGTATTTTGTTTGCCGGCTTGGCAAGCACACGCCGCTGGGCTGTTTTTGGTCGTACGCTCGAAAGTTAAATTTTGAATACAGTTTTGGGAATCAGTTGGCGACGGAGCGGAGTGGCATGGTTTCGATTTTGATCGAACAGCCGTTGTCTCCGCTCGCGCAATGAAGCACGCGCAATTGCAAGCCTGCAGAAGTTGCCCTCACGTGCATGCAAACATGATTGCACGATAGACGCACAAGCCGGGACACTTGCAGTCCATTATTTTACTTTTGCTTACTTTTGATGAATATCTGGCACGTTGGGAACCAGTAAAACGGTAACAAGTATTTTTTTTTAATTGCCTGGCAACACCTACAGGACTGTATACACTTGTGGGATGTCTCAGCAGTAAAAGCACAAGCAGCAAGTTCCATCACAGCACGTCACATCAGAACACAACACAACACAAATCCCTTCATTTGTACAGCACTTAGAACGAATGTATATATTTTTTTTCTAAGGATACCTGCTCCAAAAGCCACTTCTGCTGCTCCAAAACACTGTTTTGGTTGCTCCAAAGGCCACATTTGCTGCTTCAAAAGGTGCTCCAAAACAGCTTAGGCCAATCACATCCCTGGGCCCTTAAAGGGACCATGAAATGACCTTTTTTTCTTTTTCCAGATAACTTTTACATAACCGTCAATGTTCACTGAATGCCGAACAGGCATTCATTTTCGTCTTGGTTTATTAACTTCTACACAAAAAATTAATGAAATATCAACTTTTTCTTTCTCTCCAACTGACCGCAAAACAAGCCGTGATGTACGCTGTTTCCGGAATTGGAAGTTCTCTCGGCAGTAGGAGAATGGGAGAGTTAGCGGCGACGAGTTGGGGTGCGCCGGTAGGTTTTACTGCGCCGATGTCACCGACGTATTTTCTGAATCGGCCTCTCATCGCCGCATCGCAGCTGAGCGAAATTCAATGAGATATGTTGCGCTACAGCGACAGCATGGGACTAGTCCCATACGCCGGTATGCCTGTTGGGAAGTGCAGCGAGTCTCCCGGTGAAGACTCCAGAAGTCAACCCAGCTGTCATTGTTGGTAAAAGGCGGCCCGTGTCAGTCGTTTGCAAAGCGACGCAGATGGAAACAAATTGCCGCGGCGTTTTTCGCTGCCTCGGAGATGCAGGAGCGAGCCGACGTTAAAAAAGATATGTTTGAACTACGAGTGTCAGCAAGGGCCACCTAAATACCTGTTTACACTCGGAGCGGACGCGCGCGTTTGATGGAAGTGTTGTATTTGCGCTGTTGGTAAGCGCTTCAGGACCAATCTTTTACGATTGCAACTCAATACTGACGCGACACTCGGCAAAGAAAGGTTGGACCGGCATTGCACGTATACCTCCCACGAACTGTTATAGCTCGACAGTGACGTGCAGTCTGTCAGAATAAAAATGGCATACCAATAACAAAGTGTACATACCGTGTTACGAAGGTAATCCATACGGTGTTTATTTCAGCTCTATATCACACAAAACAAGAAGATAGAATCGACGAGAGTCCCTTTTCGACGAGTGTTTGTCAACACTGCCTCGGAAAACAAGGGGAAGAGATTAACCTCACCTCTTAATCTAAAATTGAGGTCAGCGATCAAACTATAAACGGGAAGGGTCCACAAGGGTAGCGCGGGCATATTCCATTCAGCACGCCAGCCGGTCGTAGGCAGACGGTCTTGCGACGAAGCAATGCTGCGCTGAGTCGGAGTGCCTGCTAGGCCTATATTCTGAGCAGCTCGCTTCGTTGGAGTCGGTGGATTCGTGGCCGTTGTCGCTTTTCTCGGGTGTTTGTAGATCCAGCGTTCTTGTTCGTCGTGGTCTGTTTTAAGTACTTTTTTTCTTGCTTCTTGAAGTCGGCACGCTCAAGAACACATAGAAAAATAAACGTTCAGTCAGTCAGAGTTTTGAGAGAAAGGAAATCAAAGGAAATAAACGTTTGTCGATCGCCGCGACCCAAGTAACTGAAGTTGGCCCTGCCCTACTGCGCACGCGCAGTTGTTGCTTCGTTTACTACACGATAGATGGCGCTTGGCTCTCAGCATTATCAAATTTGGCAATTTTTGCCACACATCTCTAATTATGCTACAAAATGTGGATCTGAACATTATTTAACAAAACTTCTAGGAAACATTCGCCGGCTATTTATTGTTTACGATCGCGGTGCTGGTGAGGTAGGCTCTTACCCAATAGGCGACGTGGATTCGGCTGACGTGCTCCGTTTCCGCGGATGCATCGTAGTGAAAAGGCAGAGAGCTTTGGAAGGAAAGAAGGCGCAAAAGTGTCCAGTTTTCTTTTTGAAAGTCCTATAGCATATAATTTTTTTGGGCTCCCTATTTTTGTGTTTTTGTGTTTCTTTTCACGCCTTTTACGGCAAGCGGTGGATGAAATTCGATTTTAAAATCATTTCATGGTTCCTTTAAGTTCATATGAATTCTTGACTGGGGAATGGTCGCTGCTGGCCACAACAGTGACTGCCTTGAGGGCGACATAGGTTGCGCTTGCTGGCACTGATGACAGTCGCGGGCCATGTTCTTGATGTCGCGATCCATGTTTGGCCACCAACAGAGTGATCTGGCCAGGGACTCCATCGCAGCCATCCCGGGGTTGGCATCGTGTGGCTCCCGCGGCATTCCTCGCCTTTCCTTTTGTGGAATCACCATTCTTCTCCCCACACCAGAAGTCCTGCCTCCACCATCATCTCTGCTTTACGGGTCCAGTAGGGTTCGAGAGTGGGACCTTGTGGCTGAGTTGGCCATCCTTCCAGGATAGTCGTTTGAAGTTTACCCAACTCCGTGTCTTCAGCTGTCAAATCTGCTAGTTGTTTCACCTAAGTGGTCCTGTCTCCAGTTGCTCCATGAAGGCAACTTGCTCTGGGCTTGTCGGTGATTGACTTGGTCTTGTGTCTTGGCAAAGGTACAGGTGTACTGATGGTCCCTCCATTTGGCCCATTCCAGGCTTGAACGACATGCCAATCTCGTATTAAATTCGGAGACCCGGTCTTCTGCCTCAGCAAAGTTGATCGTCTGGAGTAGACGTAGCGCTTCAATTACGTTGTGGCCTCACAGACTCGGTTCATTGCAGCCCAAGACCTAGACTGACCCAAGACGTAGACTGACGCCTTTGCACTCTGTCATTTGTGTTCCACTGTTATGTGGGGAACTCCTTTTACTAATAGGGCTCCCAGGTAGCACTATAGCATAGTCTGGCAAGAGGTCATTTTTGGCCATGACTGATGGTGCTCTTAATAAACGCTCATTGAAATACCCGACACTGGGGAACTGGTGTTGATTTCTATGTTTACAAGAACTCCGTTCCAACCCAGAGGAATGGCCCATGACTTGTGCATCGGCAGCTCACTGACGCTGTTGATCGCGCGAAAATCCGATTCCTCTACGGGTTTCGATCGTGCTGCTGCGATGACGTTGGCCTGACCACCGCGGGCCGAACAACTTGCTTGAGAACGCTACTTGCACACCCTTGTGAGACGTCCCGTTCTTTTCACTTAAAGCACGCACTTGATATGAAAGGGCACTTTTTCGGGTCGTGATTGCTGTTGCCATACCGTCCGCAATTGTTGTGCTGCTGCCCTTGAGGCTGAGGTGCCTTGCTTCATGGGAAGCGTCCCACATGCTTATTCTTTACACCTCGTTTGCTCAAGTTCTTGACTTTGGGAGGGTCCGAGCCTTGTCTTCTCAAGTCCAGTGCATTCTTGCTAGCGGTCTCCACAACCAGTGCTATGCGCATTTTTTTCCCCGAAGGTCAGCGCCAACTCTGCCAGCTGTCTCTTCTGCACTCCGACATCGCACACACCACACAAGAGTTGATCCCGGATTATAACGTCGAGGGTGTTGTTGAAGTTGCAGAACTCGGTGAATTTCTGGAGAGCTGCCAAGAATTCTGAAATGGTCTCCTCCTCTTGTTGGGAATGGCTAACAAACTTATACCATTCCATTATTTTGGATTGTCTTAGTGAGAAGTGCTGGTTCAGGGTCTCCGGGAACTCCTCAAAAGTCTTTGTGCTTGGCTTTATGGAAGTCAATAAACTTCGAAGTAACCCGTAGGTCTTCGGTCATATGGAAGACTGAAAGATTCCGGTCTTCTGCTTGTCGTTGATAATCTGATTACCGATAAAGAACTGCTCCAAGCATTCTGCGTAGTTCGGCCATGGCTCCACCTCTGTGTCGTATGCTGAGGCAGTGGCAATAGTCAATTCAATTCAATTCAATTTCAATTCAATTCAGTTTTTATATTTAGATCAAGTCATACAAAGTAAAGAACTGGCCCACAAAAGCAGCATTCTGCTTGTATGTGGTGTCATCTTTCTTTCAGTTCTGAGTTCTTTCCAAGGAGAAGAAATCACAAACTGCCAGGGCCTGCCTTGTCAGGTATTGGGAAACCGGATGTGGCCTTCAATATTTCTGTTCGTGTTTCCATTTGTTATGTGTTTTAAGAGTGACTGCGGCTGAGTCAAGTTAGCGGTAGATTAATAAGTAACTTTTAGTACATAGGACGCTCCCAAAAGAGTGCAGACACCACGTGATTATAGTGACGTCCGTCACATGATTCTAGTATCCATTTTTCTGCGAGCTCCTGCGGGCGCACACTAAAAGATCGGTTTGCGCCGTAAATATAGTTTTAAAAAGCTTTCTTTCTGTCGTAAATTCATTTTATGACATCCTTTTCCCATCCAGGCTATTGAAGAAAAAAAAAGTTTATTTCCCTTTGTTTTTGTTTTTTAAAGAGAGAAACCTTTGTGGCCAAAGGGGTTCCTGCATGACCAACTCTCACTTGCTTGCTTCTCAGCTGAGGCAAAAATTTGGCCTTCCAGACTGCTGACCCAGGAAGAGGCAGCGGAGCGGTTTGAAGACGAGGACAAGGATGGCGACGGAAAGGTGACCTGGGATGAACATGTGAGGGAGGCCTTTGGGTCCTCGCACCGTGATGCCGACCCCAACGAGGAGGATGACTTGAGAGTGAGTGCAGCCTTTGCAATGTTCCACTTCTAACTACCTGAAACACTGGAGATGTTTTTGCCCAAACTCTCTCGATCCTGGTGAAGTAGCGCCATTGCCTTCCCTGCCTGCTAGGAGGACACAGACAGATACTGCCATAATTATCCTGAAAGATGCCCCACTCTCGAAAGATAACCCACCCCTATTTTTGGCATGATTTGCTATTTTTCTAGAAACACTGAACGATAGCCCACTTTTAATAATTGCAGGGCTTTGCCCAATGGTGGCTTCTGCAGAAATGGTGTTAGCCATGGTGTGAGATGAGTAAACATTGCTGCCTCTGAAAGAGCTAAAAAAATGAAAGTCGTTCACAACTCCCTGTAACGCCGAACTAGAGCGCAGCTCTTAAAAGGAGCAGGGGAAGGCACGGAGAGGAGGCTATGCCCCTCCTCCTCTCCTGCTCGCCTCCCATCAGTGTTGTACACGTTCCTCAAAAAAAGGAACGAAAGCTCGTTCCTCGTTCCTTCTGATTTTCGGAACGCGTTCCCGTTACAAGTTCCATCTGTGAGAAAGGAACTCGTTCCCGTTACAGTTTAAAAATGGAACATGTTGTTACGTATACGCTACATTCACATTTTTTTTATTACTATAATTAGATCAATCAAAGCTTTTTTTTAATCTATCCCCTTTAAATGGCAACATACGAATTTGAATGCAGTGATGGCAGGGCAACTGGTTAGGAAGACACACGACAGCAGGGTTCTTTTTGTTGATATATGCACCTTTAAAAATCTCATCTTTTTACCATATTCCTGTTTGAGATGGGCGATTCAGACGAGCCAAATGTACTGTTACCCCACATCGCACGAGCTTTTTACAACAACTTCGCACGTTTCAATCGAACAAAGTACCTTGTTCGAACTTAACAAAGGTTGCTTCTCGATGTTGGCGTCCGCAAGACGAGCAAGTAAAGAAGAGGGTACGGCTTTTGAAGGTCATTTTTGAAAAATACAAGTCCTTCTCCGTGAAGTGTAGATTCGTTCTTCTGTTTGAAGGTTGGGGACAAGGGGAGAAGTAAAGATTAATTTTTTGTATCATTTAAGTTACCAATATTCGGGATACAAGGGTGCGTTCGATGTCAGGTAGCCGTCCTTTTGTTGTAACTGTAGGTCTGTTTGTGGAAGTTCAGTGATGGCTGTAGTCAGCCTTAGATTTCTGGGTGTATGAGTATTCGTGGAAGAAAAGAAAGTGGCTAAGTTTAAAACGTCCCTCTTTCTGTGTCTTTTCCTTCGACTAAACGTTATGCGTTTAGTCGAAGGCACTGCAAAAATAATAAATGTCCACTAGCTCGCCTGCACCCGACTGTTACCAAGCGAGGATTACACAAAATGAACCTTAAGTAACTAAAAATTTTACGAGAACCTGCTCTTTGTAAAGATATGGTTTTTATACTTTTAGAATTTTCTTCTTAGAAATAAAATACAAATTACCCCATTGAGCCAAAAAAAAAAAGGGAACGCCATTCCTTTTTCCGTTCCTGTAAAAATGTAATGAGTTCCCGTTCCAGTTCCACCGATAAAAAATGGAACGGCGGCGTTCCTTCGTTCCTCCTAAAAGTAACGCGTTCCAGGAACGCCGTTCCTTGGAACGCCGTTCCGTACAACACTGCCTCCCATTTAGGGGAAAATTTTCTGCTAAATTTAGTGGAGAATTTTTTCCGCTAAATATAGCGGGGAATTTTTTTCCGCTAAATTTAGCGGGGAAATTTTTCCGCCAAAATTAGCGGGGAAGTTTCTCCTCTAATTTTAGCGGGAAAATTGTTCCGCTAAATTTAGCGGGGAAGTTTTTCGGCGAAATTTAGCGGGGAAAGTTTTCTGCTAAATTTAGCGGGGAAATGTTTCCTCTAAATTTAGCGGGGAAATTTCTTCTCTCACTAAATTTAGTGGGGAAATTTTTTCGCTAAATTTAGCAGTGAAATTTTTCTACTAAATTTAGCGGGGGAAATTTTTCCGCTAAATTTAACGGGGAAATATTTCCTCTAAATGTAGCGGAGAATTTTTTCCGCTAAATTTAGCGTAGAAATTTTCCCGCTAAATTTAGCGGGGAAAATTTTCTGCTAAATTTAGCGGGGAAATTTACCCATAATCCGCCGCTCAAGCCGGAAACGGGCGCCTAAGAGCTGCACTCTAGAATGCTAGTTTTAGATTTTGTGACCTCTGAAAATTGTGATCGCAGGTCACAAAATCTAAAACTAGCTTTTTTTTCACTTTTTTTGAACGCACACCAAAAGTTAGCGTACTCCTTATTTTCAGCCAATTTGCTTTTGTTTTGAGGTGGGCTAGGTCCCGGGATATTATGATATGCTTACATAAAACCAAAAACTTTGCAAGGCGTTTTGTTTAACATTATCTGTTTCCACAACAATTGCCGTTTTGGCCCTTTCATAGCATCTAAGCTTGAAAGGAGCCTTTCTGAATTGACTGTGCCTAGATCAAGACGGCACGTCATCATACTGAAAGTGTTCCTTGCCACTCTCGGCTCTGTATACACAATCATCAAATTAATCTTGCTGATCTCCACTGTTTTCTGACAATGATATTGTTGTTTGTGCAAACATTGTTGCAAAAACTTTTTTTTCAGTGTTGCCAAGCTTTTACGTTGCATGTGTTGCCAGTGTGTAGCTGTGCGCTTGTTTTATGGCCACTGAGGGTCAAAATGAAAGAAACCTTGTAACTTAAATCATGTTGATAAACATTATTACAAATGACTGGTGTGTACAAAACTCTAAGGCTGCTGTTTCATTTAAGTGGCATGTTCCTTTGTACTGACTTCCGTCTACCAAGATCTCACCGTATTCCAGCTAATGGAAGAGGACGACCGCTACTTCAAGGCAGCAGACGCCAACAAGGATGGCGCATTGGACAAGGAAGAATTCCCAAAGTTCTCCCACCCGTCCGAGTTCCCGGAAATGCAGAATGTGAGTTGCAAGTCGTTTCATTACCAATGATCCCTCTTTCTCCGAGCGAGTGATTTTAGTGGAGAAAAGGGGTACCGTTCAATGAGGGATTCTCGGAATGTTCAATCTCGAGTATTGCACGTTCAACCTCGATTCAAGCCTCGGCATTGTCGCAATAAAGTAGCTGAGGATCCTGCAGAGCTTTCAAACAATAAGGAACCTACTACAGAACGTTTGGCTCATAGGCGTGTGTGGACGGGTGGCCTAGTATTGCTGAAATGATGCTTAAACTCTGAAGACATATTAAAGTCGAATCTCGTTAAATCGGAATCGAGGGGATCGAAAATTTGTTTGAATAAAGCAAACTTTGAATTACCGAGAGTTTCCTCCGGGACGATAGAGAAAATTTGGGGACTCGGGGAGGAGGAGGAGGAGGAGGAGGAGGAGGAGGAGGGAGGGAGGGAGGGGGGGAGAGAGGGGAGGAGAGGAGAGGAGGAGGAGGAGGAGGAGGGAGGGAGGGAGGGAGGGAGGGAGGGAGGGAGGGAGGGGAGCTTTTGAGGGTACTCTGGGGAGTCCCCATGTTTCTGGGAACCTGTTTAGATTGATGTTCGTGTGCACGTCCGTGCTCCAGCAAGGGGACTGCTGTCGGGTGTTTTTAGAGCGCAGCTCTTAGTGGCCCGTTTCCAGCCTGAGCGGCGTCGGCGTCGCCGTAACCGGGGTCACGTGACCCCCCCGAGGTCACGTGACCCCCCCCCCCCCCCCCCCCCCGAGGTCACACGACCCCCCACCCCCGAGGTCACGTGACCCCCCCCCCCCCCCCCCCCCCGAGACCACGTGACCCCCCCCCCCCCCCCCCCGAGGTCACGTGACCCCCCTCCCCCAAGATCACGTGACCCTCCTGGGGTCACGTGACTACCCGCAGGTGACGTGACCCCCCTCAGTACCCTTCCCTACTCCTCCTCAAGAGCTGCGCTCCAATTCGGCATTACAGGGATTTGTAAACGGCTTTCATTTTTTTTGGTCCAATATTCACACCTGTCCAGGGATGTTTCCTGCATGGTACTAAAACGGGCAAGAAACTGTGTGTCACATGTACAAGTTCGGATTGAAAAAAGCTAGTGTCACGTTAGTGTTGCAATGCACGTTTGTGAGGATGTGCACGCATAAGAAAGCCATAATAGATTGAGTGTGATTTGGCTTGTGTAAGTGGAAGTTTAAGGATTCTTACGTGCTAGAATCATCAAAATGAGGTATTTGTTTAAGCTGATAATGTTACTTTAGTGAGTGACAAGTCTTGAAGTTAGGAAAACCTCCCCCTACGAGCTTTATGCACCTACTTCAATTCTTCAAACAGAGAAATTAGTGCGTCGACTGCTTCGTAACGTCGGCTTTGGACGAGCGTGAAGCTTGCCGCTGATAAAGTGGGACAACATCATTCCGTGGGCGAAGACATCTGTGGGAAATCAACGGGAACAGAGCAAAGGACCAGAATATTTCCTACATCATCGAAACGACTGTGCCCGCAGGACATGACAGTGATTTTATTCCGTGGCCCATTCACATGTGGTGGGTCGCAGCAGACATTGCTTCCTTAACTTGCCACGCAACTGTTCGCAGTAATGAACCTAGGCAAGGGTGCCACGTTTGCGGATTAATAAATACTAATTTAAAGGCATTATTTCAGTTCTGAAATTAGTTTTATTTCCATGTTTGCAGTAAGTATGGCAAAGTTAAGACTACTATTTGAGCTACTAGATGGCACCTAATTGCGGAAAGATTCTATTGGAATGCCCTTCTTTCCTGATTTACGGCTACAAGTGACCCCAGAATGCACCATGGGGGGCTTTGAATAAAACCTCCAAAACTTGCTTAAGAATCAAAATAATAAATTTTTTTTTTTATTATCCATAACGATTGAAAACGATGCCAGGACATTACCCTCAAAATTCGAAACTTGGGAATTCAGTATTTCTGAATTAAAACAACAATTTCCAAATGCCGAATTTGAAGTTCCCGCGCGATCCGCGCCAGTGCAGTGAGTCAAATTTCGCGGTCTCCTGCGACTCGACTTTCTTTCGGACCCCCGCTTCCCGTTATGAAGCAAAGCGCCGTTGCCACAGCGACCCGAAGCGAGGAGAAGGTGAGCAGGCGGGATAGAACCCCGCACGGGAAAAATACGGTTTCTTCCCCGACTCGCCGATAATCCTCTGCTCGAGTGCCGCCAAGTTTTCCGAGGGAGGATACAAATCCAGGAAGCGATATCACACCGAAATCTGATTTTTGGTATTTCAAAAAGAGGGGCCGTAGTGCGTTCGCAATTGCCTTAAAAAACATGTTTTACGATTGCCGTTATTAAATGTTATAGAAATGTCGCCTAGAAAGCTTCTAAATATCATGGTTTTTGACGTCACCGATCAAAAGAAGCAAGGAGGTGAGCGCGGGAGACATAGACGGCAAAAATAAAACGGCAGGCACGCGCGCAGAAAATTTTTTTTTTTGCAATGTTTTTTTTGTTTTTTTTTGCGTGTCTATGACTACAACTTGCATTGTTTTAGACAAAAAGGATACGACCTTTGGGGTGTCAGTGTGTCAGCGGTGGCCGGGTGCTGACGTTCCGTTATTTAATAATGCGACGTTGATTTGAGAAGCAAGTGAAATAGCGTTTATTATACTAGATTAACTTCTGATTTCATGGAGAGGTCTCTTTTGCGTGCTTTATGTGGCGTACCTCCGGTCGTTCTGTGTGAGGTTTCTTCTTACGCAGGCACAAGCGGTGTCCCCTTCCCAGGCAGGCACTATGGGCGAAGTTCAGTTCACGCTCTCGCGAAGCGTAATCAAGCTGGGCCCGCAACCCTGTGCGCTCGCAAAAGTCACGTATTGAGGATCCATTACAGATCCCGCCGAGGCAAGACAAACAAGTAGACAAACGAGCTGGGCCAAGCTAACACGCCCCGGTTTAAAATTGATTTGTCCTCAAATCACTCCAACGCGTAATCCGCAAGTTAGGCCGGAGGTCTGCGCGTCTTTGACAGTTGCTGCCCTGCAGCGTCATCCTCGATGTTGATGCGTGCTCCGTAGTTTTCTTTGTCGCGCGTTGGGGCCTTGGATCCGTCCTTGTCTTCACGTTCATCGCTTTCATCTGCGCGACCGGAGGCTCTGCCGACACAGGTGTCGGATAACTTCGGTGCCGCTGGCGTGCGTGTATTGTGTCGGCGGAGTTGCTCGACGTTTGCCTTTCTTTCGTTTTGTTGTCGTTTTATGGAATGCAGCCTTTTGATGACCACCGTGTTTGGGGTCGGAAAGGACTTGATCTCGAACGGGCCCTCGAAGAACGGGTCCATCGTGCTTGACCTCGCTCCGATGCTGCAGTAAACGGAGTCGCCGATTTTAAATTTCAGAGTCTTGCTCCTTGTGTCATAACGGCTTTTGGCCGAAGCTTGAGAGTTTTCCAAGTTGTCTTTCGCGTCAAACGTACTCCCGAATGTCTCGCGACATCTGAGGCCACCAGTAGTTCTTCTTGATTTGTTCCGTCGTTCGCTCGACGTCCATGTGTCCAGTCGAGTCATGACATATGTTCATAACAGAATCTTGAAGCGTGGCTGGCACAACGATTCTCTTGAAGTTTTCGTCTATTTTAATAAGATCCCATGCGACCGTCCGTAGTCGTTTCCGGGCTGTGACGCTAGTCGTTGACACAGCGGGTCGATCTGTTGCTGTTCCCGTAGGCGACTGTTCGTGCTCACTTGCGCATTCAAGCAGATGGGGAGGGGTTGATCGCTCCGGCGAAGGTGAGAACAGTCTGGGAGTCTTCCGGGTCGTACTGACGTGAGAGGGTGTCCGCCTTGTTGGATTTACTCGGTCGGTGTACAATTTCGAACTCGTAGTCAGAGAGGTCGAGGATCCATCGTGCAAATCTTCGGTTGGTCAGGCCGTTCTTAACACGGTATGTGAGGCACAGGCTGTCCGTAATGACTGCAAATCGTTGTCCTCCGCGCAAGTATATTGCAAACTTTTCCGTGATGGCCCAGTGTAGCGCCATGCACTCGAGAAGTTTAATGTGCAGGGTGCTGTCGTGCGCGTTCAAAGGTCTGCTTGCGTATTCGATTACCTTGTCGCACGAGTCGTGTCTCTGCGTCAGAATCGCTCCAAAGCCCGTTTGACTCGCGTCCACGTGAACCGTGCTGGGGCACTCACTCCGAAAGGTGGCCAGAACCGGCGGAGTCTTCAGACAATGCTTCAGGTCGTCGGCGATCCTTTGATGTTCGTCAGACCACTCGAAGCTCGCGTCCCTCAGCAGTAGCTTACGCAGCGGTGATGATCGTGTTGCGAAGTCCGGGATGAACTTTCGAAAGTGATTTAGGGACTGTAGGAATGAGTAAAGATGCTTTGCCTCCCTCTCGGGCTGAAACTTGTCGACTGCAGAAACATGCTGAGGATCGGGTGTTCTGCCTTCCGCCGTGATCACATTCCCGATAAATTGAACGCTGGTTCGTATGAACTGGCACTTTGCGATGTCCATGGGGAGTTCGTTCACAACGATGCGTCAAAGGGCTTCGTCTAGAAGTTCCAGAGCCTGGCGAACGTCATCCATGTACATTGCTGTTCGGGGAAGTCCGTCGAAAGTTCTTCGCATGACCATTTGCATAGTTTGGGGCGCTTTACAGAACCCGAAGGCCATGCGGAGATACTCGTACTTGCCATCTGGAGTGACAAAGGCTGTTTTGTGAACATCTTCCGGCTTCGCTCGGATGGTCAGAAATGCGGTCTTGACGTCCATAACAGTGAAGTAACGGGAGCCGTCTCTCATTACATCGTCGAGCGCGTCGTCCATTCGAGGCATGGGGTACAGCGGGTTGACTGTTTTGGCGTTCAATTTTCGGTAGTCGTGAACCATTCATCTGGGAGTCGAGGGATGGTTCGGCTGGCTTACCACAAGCGTCGGTGCAGCATATTCGCTTTGGCTTTCGCGAACAATTCCACGCTCGCGATAGTCTTCGACCTGTTGTTTGATGAATTCCCGG